TTAATATAAGATATAATAATATATAGTAATATATATTATATATATATATATATATATATATTATATATATATATATATTATTAATATATATATATATAATATTATATATATTAATATAATATATTATATTATATATATATATGATATAATATATAATATATTATTATATATACAATATAATATATATTTAATAATATATATATAATATTATATATAATATACTTATACATATGTATATAAGTAGTATATTGTATGAAAGAGGCATTCTGATTCTCTTATCAAAGGATAAAACCTTGAATGAATTGAACTGTTTATTAGCTTTAACCGATTCTTGTATTCTCTACGTTTAAATATTGATAACTAAAAAAGAGTTATTAAATGACATAACTACGGATCTTTATGCAAACTCTTCTTACTTTCATAAAGATCATTTCATAAAAACAAAAAGGCAAACATTTATTTCGTACAGCGAATAGTTTCTTGCGATTCAAATATAAGATAAATGTTATCGATTTTTGTTAACGAACAAGCTTTCTTTGATTTAAGATATTCACAGATACCACAAATGCACGAAGATATACGAATACAATGAGCGTAATCGCCAACGTTTGACAGTGAGTCGAATGAAATGCATAAAAATTACTATAGTCCTTCCGCGACAAGAAGACGCCTTTGGGGGTTTGCATTCCCCCTCTTACTAGCTACCTCGCCTTCATGTCGCCCAGTTGTCACTTAATCAATCTGTCAATTTCTTTCGTAAATCAACAAGATATCTCAAATAACATCATTTCGTTACATATTTCGGTCATGAAAAAACTTAGTCGTCGATAACTTAGTCGCGATTCTAAAAAAAAGATACGACAACATCCCAATTTCCAAACACATAAGTAGAAATATCTTACGAATTGTGTCCTGAAATGATTTTATAAAATTAAAACTACTATGTTGGTTTAAAGTAAAATTATTTGATAATTTTACAGTAATTTGTATCGTGACATGAGGGACCTTGGCCAGATTGATACGTCATTGCTCTTCGGTAACATAGACGTTGTGTTCAATTACGATTTAGAAGAAAACGATGAAATCTCAAACGGAGATCTGTGCGTAAAGTTCGTTCGTGTACTTAGTTGTTAAGTAACTTAGTTAAAAGTTTTTATTGACGCGTTCTCGTAATTTTCTTCCAGTTATTAAGATTCCATTAATTAATTTTTTAAAAGCTCCGATCCTACAGTATGGTATCGTAATTACAAGACTTAGTCGGGAGCTGATTCATTCAAACGTATGAACGCATCTTTGTTTGTCATACTATAGTACGAATTCATCGAATCGGATGACAAATGGCGACAGATATAGTGATAACGATAAAGTGACTGCTGTGTAGAATTATACAAACCGTCCTATGAAACACCAGATGTCCGAGCTGAGAAGAGCACTCCAAAGTCGATCGCTCAACAAATGCTTCAATAAAATTAGCTCGACAGCATAGAAACCATCCGGAGAGATCTGGCTGATTAAACCACAAATTAGGACATGGGTGGTTTCGTACAACGTGGCCAATCTTGGTTGTTCTCCAATATCGTGGCTGCTTGGCAACTTTACGTCTCCCGCACAAATATCTTCCTGTACTTTTAAAGCATTTAATAAAATAATATTCTTCATTACACATATATTATATTTAC